GTAAAAGCGTTGAGCAAAGTACATTTTGTATGAAGTACAAAAGCGGCGCTTCATATTAAAAATGTGTACACGATCAACACGTTTACAACATTATAAAATTACAAAAAGCAGCATTCAATTCTTATAATTACATTTTTATGCTACACAACCGTGAAATTACAAGTTATAGCTAATTTTTTGTTTGTTTTCCTATGCATTGTTGTGACGTTGTAATGGGAAGTACCAACTTCTAAGCAAGGACCGAAGCTCATAAACTCGGCAATCAACGCAGGACTTCGGGAAAGTCTGGAGAGCCGACAACCTTGCTTCGGAAGTTGGGGAAGTACGTGCCGTCGGAGAAATGTGTACGGAGAAATATATAATTTGATATTGGAATGCCTTGCGATTGCTTTTAGCCAATCAAAAGTACGAGTTTTTATGAAACATACATGTAATGTAATTATTACGAAACAAAACAAACATTCATAGCCTTTTATAATATATAATAAACATAACTTATAATGAATGGGATATAACATAAACGAAAAAGAAATTGCAATTGAGGAATGGATACGACCCTGCCCATTCGTGCAATACCAAGTGATCAATCAAATCATGTGAATATCAGCATAAAAATATGTAATTTAAGTATGTAAATAAGATAAATTTTATATCAAACCATCTTAAAAATTTATTTTTGAACATTTTACGTCCGTCATTTTCATGGATTTTTTCCCGCTAAAATAGTGCCGTCAAATCCCAGTCTCATTTGATTTGGACAACTTTACGAGGAAATGAAATATCCCAGTAGGGTAAAAATGAAAGTCTATTATCATTCACAAAAGAAATTAAACAAGACCAATACCGGGTCTAGACCTGCGTCGCTGCATGCAATTAATTGAAGTTATATAGATATAAGAAGATGTGGTATGAGTGCCAATGAGACAACTCTCCATCCAAGTCACAATTTATAAAAGTAAACCATTATAGGTCAAAGTACGGTCTTCAACATGGAACCTTGGCTCACACCGCACAGCAAGCTATAAAGGGCCCCAAAAATTACTAGCGTAAAACCATTCAAACGGGAAAACCAACGGTCTAATCTATATAAAAAACGAGAAACGAGAAACACTTATGAACCACATCAACAAACGACAACTACTGAACATCAGATTCCTGACTTAGGACAGGTGCAAACAATTGCAGCGGGTTTAAACGATTTAATGGTACCAAACCTTCACCCTTATCTGAAACAATAGTGTAACATCACAACATAGAAAGACACTATAAAATATCAATTAAAATGGCTTACCTCAATCTAAAGACATATTAACACAAGTGAACATACACCGAACGAATAAATTTGATCAATGTAAATACAAAATCAATAAAATAAGGGATGAATAATTAAAGTAACAGTATTATACCGCTGTGAAATGTTATACAATTTCAGAAAAACAACAATAACCTTAAACAAATATCTGCCATTTACAATAATATATACACAGGTAAATGAAAATATTTTTTTTGTTAGGTATACAGTTTAAAAGGAGAAAGGAAGTATTTTTACAAAATAAATAATTTTGATGTTCATAGTTCGAAGAAGTGAAAATTTATAGTAATACCAAACACTTATCAAAGCTGGTATAAAGACCAGGGGCCAGTTTCACGAAGCTGTCTTAGGACTAAGACATGTCTTAGGATGGTCTTACGACATATCTTAGTCCTAAGTGGGTTTCACAAAGTGGTCCTAAATAAGGACATCTCTTCAAGTTGGTCTTAAAGTTAGGACTACATGAGAGGTGTCTTATGATGGTCTTATGATAGTCATAAGTTTATTTATATAAATTACACTCATTTTTATATTAATTTGGTAAATTATCTAATTATTATCTAATTATCTATTCTACTTTTCCTGTTCACAACTAAATCTTTATTGGTTGACGGATTGTCATGATTTGTCAACAATGAACATTCGATGTATTGGTATCAAGAATGCACGATTTTATCATTTAACCCTATTATAACCGATTCAGTGACAAAACGAATTCAACTCACTTAAAAAAGTTAAAATTTTATTCATTTTTTTCAATTTTGTATTTAAAGTTCATATGTATATTAGTATATCATTGATAGATTATTTATATAAATTACACTTATTATTTATATTAATTTTGCAAATTATCTTATTATATTAATCAATACGCTTAGTAATTTATGGGAAAGACATACTACATTTACATGAATTTTTCCACAAATCAATGTTAATATTTGAAAATTTAAAGAACTTGCGACAGATTTAGGATATCTTTGCTAAGATCAGTATCAGGATAGCTTCGTGAAACCTGCCCTAGATATAACCCTGAATAAGTAAACATTAGATAACAAAAAAGCATTACAAGTAGTATCAACAGGTCAAATTAACAAGTACGATTTTAGAGTACTCGTAGTTACTGACAGCTAGTTAAAAGCCAGAAACAATTAATAATAAAAAATCATGAATCAGAGACTAAACTGTATACTGGAACATAACTGATGATTCCCTTTCGCTGATGCAAAAAAACTTTGACGAACATTTTCCTCGTACAATGAGTGATAAAATGTCAAACTATCGGCAAACAGGAAGTGGCTACACGGCAGATATAACACTTGCTTACTCACTACAACTCAACATTATCAAGCTGCAGACCAAATCTTTAATAGGAGCCGAGAAAACTTTGACGAAATTGTTCTTTCGGATGGACGGACGGACGGACGAAATCGAGCGGTAACTAGACCTGCTTCCGCCTTCGGCAACCCGGCTAAAAACTAAGAGCCGTAAATGTAAAACTAGTAAATGCCTGACATTTTCAAAAGTTGAGGCGGATTTTTTTTTAATCTGCTTCAGATAACATGACAAAGATGACCAGGTCAAGCTGTGGTCATCTAAAATACATTGTATTGTATGTGTTGTTAAGAATGGAAAGTCTTGACGTGAAATTAAATATTGAAGGTGTTATTTCGAGCTTTCAATTTAACTGATCTGTAAATTTTGCTTGAAATTTAATTTCTAATCTGTTAAACATAATTATATCAGTTTGTAAATTAAACGGCCCAGTTCATATCCATGAATACCCGTAGATATCTTAGTCCATAAAACCAACCTAAAATTCTTAAAATGAAGAGGTGAAATATGTCTCAGTCAAACTCGATCCATATACTTAAAAAATATTGAGCGAAAATATCAGTGTCAAGGCGCGTATTCAGACGGGGCACACCTGGAGCGAGGCCTCCCTAAAGTAGAAAAAAATGTAATTTATAGTTAAAATAACAGCCAATTTTTGGTCAAAATATGATCATCTTACTCCTAATTCTCAGGAGCGCACCCCTTACACATCAAATCCTGCATCCGTGTCCATGTTAGTAAGGACTTGAATATTAATGTTCTTAACCTGTCGTCGGTTTCCAAATACTATGCTGAAGTATTAAATTAAATCATTGTTGTCAGGTCACTAAAGATGGCATATTTTGGTATTAATATTGATTCACTCATAGGGTCTTTGCATAGGAAATAAACACAATGTCATTTATTCTAAAACCAGTTGTTGGCATGGTACGGGTTATGTTTTTCTCATATATTTTATGATGGTATGATACCAAACCTCTAACGGGAGGGATTGTGCTTGATTTTCGTATGATGAAGATATAATCTTTCAATCAGTTTAATTGAGGTCTGGAGCTGGAACGTCCGTAACTGCTAGTAGTCCTTTGTTAACTTATGTATCATTGTCATTTTGCTTAGTTTCTTTTGTTACCTATTCTGACATCAGACTCGGACTTCTTTTAAACTAAGTTTTACTGTGCGTATTGCTGTGTGTTTTTGTTTTTTCTACATTGGCTAGAGGTATAGGGGGAGGGTTGAGATCTCACAAAACATGTTTAACCCCGCCGCATTTTTGCGCCTGTCCCATGTCAGGAGCCTCTGGCCTTTGTTAGTCTTGTATGCTTTTTAATTTTAGTTCATTTGTATGTTTTGGAGTTTAGTATGACGTCCATTATCACTGAACTAGTACATATTTTTGTTTAGGGGCCAGCTGAAGCACGCCTCCGGGTGCGGGATTTTCTCTCCTTCAGCTGTTTCTGCTCTTGCGTCGGGTTGTTGTCTCTTTGACACATTCCCCATTTCCATTCTCAATTTTAAACTTACGGATGGAAATCGCAGTCTTATTCTGTTTGCCTATTTGATTACCGGGATATTGGTCTGTTGCAGTTAACGGACTTCTACACGTATGGGATGTGAGAGAGAATGGTCGATCGGACTGCGGGCCAAATAAAAAATCGGGCCATCCAAGTAATTGAGTTATTTTGAGTGTCGCAAAACATAATAGAATTTATCAAAAATAACAAAAAGCAATATAAGAGGACTTAATATGATGAACACAATTGTCATTGAAGGATATGGCCTTTCATTATTAGCGAATCGATCTAAATACACTAGTCTTGAATATGAATATGAATTCGAGTTAACAATTGCAAACAAACTTAAGAATAAGAATATCACAATACAATATATTCAAATACCAGCATAAAGAAATTTTGAGCATATTGTTGTTCAGATGTAAAATCTTCAATCAAACACTATAATTAAAGATTATTACTTTTCGTTATTATATTCAATTCAAGTACATAAAAGTTATTATAAACGATGCAGGGTTGGATGATCTTTGCTTATAGATACCAATATAAACATTCATTTTACAAAAGAAGTTTGTTCATAAGGATGTGAAAGGAAATCATGTCATCTTATTTCATGCAAGGGGCACCTGAAGGGAAATACAGATGTATTTACAAAAATAACAAATACAATTTTAAAGTATGACAAAAAATAATTATTATTTTTAAATATTGAATGGTCATATTATGTTGAAATTTCTTTCAAATATATTTTTAGTACTTGTTTCAACATTAATTTTCCTAATATTTTCTTTCATTTTACGTACCCCCATTTCTTTTATAATTCTTTTAAGGTAATTCGCCTGAAACGTCGGTTTATTTTAGTGCATGCAGTGACGTATGTCTCTTTATAATAAATATTAAGGAGTATATCATAATTTGTTTTTGGTGAACATTTTAAAGAACATTTTATCACACATTGGCTGCTGAAAAATTCGTCGTTTGGCGGTAAGCTAAGATTTCAAGCTAGTAAATTAATGAAAATAAAACATCAATAATTTACTTTAAATTTCCTATATTCTTTGTTTTTAGATATAAATACAGCAAAATTTTGGTTTATTTGTATATTGTTTCTGTGTAAGTTCAATCTTGAAATAGAGGTTTCTTTTCTATGAAAAATTCTAAAACCAATTTGCGACTTTTTTACACACGTATAAAGCAATAACTCTAAGAATAAATTAAGGACAAATTATGTATTATGTATTTTAATTATCTAATAAAGGAGTATGTACATGGTTTTGTTATTGATGATATCCCTTTTCAACAGTTATTTCATTGATGCGTTTTCAGTTCTCATGAGTTCCTAGTTTTTCCCGTCTTTCTGAAATTTAGGTGGCATCAATATGTCCTTAATCTTTTTTTTTCATAGTGAAGGCTAAAAACAATTTAGGTGGCATCAATATGTCAGCAATCTTTTTTCATATTGAAGGCTAAAAACGATTTAGGTGGCATCAATATGTCCGCAATCTGGTTTTTTCATAGTGAAGGCTATAAACGATTTCGATGGCATCAATATGTCCGCAATCTTTTTTTTCAAAGTGAAGGCTATAAATCATTTACATCAATCAATATGTCCGCAATCATTTTTCATAGTGAAGGCTAAAAACGATTAAGGTGTCATCAATATGTCCGCAATCTTTTTTTCATAGTGAAGGTTATAAACGATTTACTAGGTGGCATCAATATGTCCGCAATCTTTTTTTCATATTGAAGGTTATAAACGATTTAGGTGGCATCAATATGTCCGCAATCTTTTTATCACTGTGAAGGTTATAAACGATTTATGTGGCATCAATATGTCCGCAATCTTTTTTTCATAGTGAAGGTTATAAACGATTTAGGTGGCATCAATATGTCTGCAATCTTTTTTTCATAGTGAAATTTATAAACGATTTAGATGGAATCAATATGTCCGCAATCTTTTTTTTCATAGTGAATGTTATAAACGATTTATGTGACATCAATATGTCAGCAATCTTTTTTTCATAGTGAAGGTTATAAACAATTTAGGTGGCATCAATATGTTCGTATACTTTTTTTATAGTGAAGGTTATAAACGATTTAGGTGGCATCAATATGTCCGCAATCTTTTTTCATAGTGAAGGTTATAAACGATTTAGGTGGCATCAATATGTCCGCAATCTTTTTTTCATAGTGAAGGTTATAAACGATTTAGGTGGCATCAATATGTCTGCTATCTTTTTTTCATAGTGAAGGTTATAAACGATTTAGGTGGCATCAATATGTCCGCAATCTTTTTTTCATAGTGAAGGTTATAAACGATTTAGGTGGCATCAATATGTCCGCAATCTTTTTTTCATAGTGAAGGTTATAAACGATTTTGGTGGCATCAATATGTCCGCAATCTTTTTTTCATAGTGAAGGTTATAAACGATTTTGGTGGCATCAATATGTCCGCAATCTTTTTTTCATAGTGAAGGTTATAAACGATTTAGGTGGCATCAATATGTCTGCTATCTTTTTTTCACAATGAAGGTTATAAACGATTTAGGTGGCATCAATATGTCCGCAATCTTTTTTTCATAGTGAAGGTTATAAACGATTTAGGTGGCATCAATATGTCTGCTATCTTTTTTTCATAGTGAAGGTTATAAACGATTTAGGTGGCATCAATATGTCCGCAATCTTTTTTTCATAGTGAAGGTTATAAACGATTTAGGTGGCATCAATATGTCTGCTATCTTTTTTTCATAGTGAAGGTTATAAACGATTTAGGTGGCATCAATATGTCCGCAATCTTTTTTTCATAGTGAAGGTTATAAACGATTTAGGTGGCATCAATATGTCCGCAATCTTTTTTTCATAGTGAAGGTTATAAACGATTTAGGTGGCATCAATATGTCCGCAATCTTTTTTTCATAGTGAAGGTTATAAACGATTTAGGTGGCATCAATATGTCCGCAATCTTTTTTTCATAGTGAAGGTTATAAACGATTTAGGTGGCATCAATATGTCCGCAATCTTTTTTTTCATAGTGAAGGTTATAAACGATTAAGGTGGCATCAATATGTCCGCAATCGTTTTTTCATAGTGAAGGTTATAAACGATTTAGGTGGCATCAATATGTCCGCAATCTTTTTTTCATAGTGAAGGTTATAAACGATTTAGGTGGCATCAATATGTCTGCTATCTTTTTTTCATAGTGAAGGTTATAAACGATTTAGGTGGCATCAATATGTCCGCAATCTTTTTTTCATAGTGAAGGTTATAAACGATTTAGGTGGCATCAATATGTCTAGAATCTTTTTTTCATAGTGAAGGTTATAAACGATTTAGGTGGCATCAATATGTCCGCAATCTTTTTTTCATAGTGAAGGTTATAAACGATTTAGGTGGCATCAATATGTCCGCAATCTTTTTTTCATAGTGAAGGTTATAAACGATTTAGGTGGCATCAATATGTCTGCTATCTTTTTTTCATAGTGAAGGTTATAAACGATTTAGGTGGCATCAATATGTCCGCAATCTTTTTTTCATAGTGAAGGTTATAAACGATTTAAGTGGCATCAATATGTCTAGAATCTTTTTTTCATAGTGAAGGTTATAAACGATTTAGGTGGCATCAATATGTCCGCAATCTTTTTTCATAGTGACGGTTATAGACGATTAAGGTGGCATCAATATGTCCGCAATCCTTTTTTCATAGTGAAGGTTATAAAAGATTTAGGTGGCATCACTATGTCCGCAATCTTTTTTTCATAGTGAAGGTTATAAACGAAATTGATTATCCTAACTATGAGGGTTTAAAAGGATGAGACAGGCTTAGAATGATGATACTCTCGTGTTTTAATAGTCCTTCAGCAGTGGTATCTACCAAGTGCTAGAACAAATGAAAAGGTATTTTTCGTTTTGTTTAAATAATTGGCAACTTCAATGAAATGTAATTATATAACTCTCACCAGTATTTTAAATTCTATCAAGGATGTGACGAAAGAAATTGGTCAAGAAATAAACTTAGTCATAAAATACAGTAACCAATAAAAATTGTAATTTTTGCTTAATGGTATTCTTTTCCCTTTCTATTTTAGGATCACATACGAAAAGCAACACCAAAAGCGTACAAAGATAATTTCTACTGCATTGTGGTCGTTTTTAGAGACTTAATAAGTTTGGCAAGTTAAACCATCATGTTATACTCAAAATCACACTTTAACACGACTCCGGGTGATTATAAAATACATTCTTACGACAGGGTTCATGAATATAACCACGTCCATGACTATAATCATATTCACGATTATAATAAAATACACGAATATGACAAAATTTACAAATATGACAAGATTCGAGAATACAAATATCATGAATACCAACCTACGAAAACACAGCAGAAGAAACCACGACCAATTATTGATAGACCAGCTGCGCAACCCGTAAAACGGAAACGGAAGTCAAGATTAGAATGGCCGGACAAACCAATTTATACACATACATTTAGGCCATATGAATATATTCCTCCGCCTCAACTTCGGAACTATGAATATACTGAATATCAGATGGACAAAGATTATTATATTAATAGAAAATTAGGAACGTATAGAGGCAGTGTTGATTATAAATTAACTCCAGATAACTATTATCCGTTCAGATACCGTAAAGGAAAACAAAAAAGAGAAGATTTCAATAATAATGAAGAAATAAAACGGGAAGCAAGTTTAAGAGATATAGATTTTAAAGAACCGATTTATAAACCGGAAACACGACGTGAGGTAAAACTTCCAACTAAATTCGTTTATATGCCAAAGGCAGTTCTAAAAACGCAAGCAAAAGCAAAACCTGCAACACCCGTATATAAACCGGAAGTACGCCAACAGGAAGTTCTGCCTACAGCATTTGTGTTTGCGCCAGCTATCATCAAAAAGGCTGAGACAAAGCCACAAACTCCAGTGTATCAACCAGAAGAACGCCAAGAGGAAATACTTCCGAATGCATTCATGTTTGCCCCTATTGTTGTTACAAAATCACAAACTCAAGCAAAACCACAAACTCCGCTATATCAACCCGAGGAACGTCAGGAAAATGTTTTACCATCAGCTTACGTCATAGCACCAAGGGCAGTGCAAAAGATCGAATCACCCACACCTGAGAAATCACCTAGTCCTGTTATAGCAAAACAAGCTGCAGCTGCAGCAGCAGTCAGACGTGCCTCTCCAGTACATAACCCTAGTCCTGTAAGGAGCATTTATACTCCAATAGGATCTAGATCACCTTCTCCAGGTCTTCCACCTGTTGGTGCCATCTTAGCAGGAGGTATGATCGGAGCAGCTGTGGTCAGTAATAAATCTGAGAAAAAGGAACAAGAAAAAATACCAAAACAGTCTACCCCACAACCACCATCCCCAGAGCGCCAACGATCACCCTCAATACAAAATGTCGTGGTTGCTGCGGCAGTAGTAGGTGCCACGTCACCAAGTCCTGAACCACTATCAAAATCAACACCAAAACCAACAACACCCCAACCACCTCCTGTGCAACCAGCCCCTGCCCCTAAAGCTGTTGCTGTAGCTGCTTCAGTTCCTGCTAGGAGGGCAGCTCTGTCCGTTGGATCTCCTAAACCAGAAAGAGCACCAACACCAGCGAAATTAGAAGCACGGCATGCACCAGTGGCTAAGGCGGGAGTAGTTGCTGCAGCATCTGTACCTGCTTTATCTAAACCAGTAGAGCAGCCTAAAACACCAGATAATCAGTATAAAGAGGAACCTTCCACTTGGTCTCCTGTACCAAACAGAAAGAGGGGTCTACCTCCAGAAATTATTGCGACAATTGAGGCATACGACCGAGCGCATGGTTAGTATTAACTTATATGAATTCATATGCAGCACATACATGTGCATGTAGTGATAGGATTCGTAAATATTTTCTGCAGCAAATTACCCATTAATAGCCTGTTTTAGTACGTTTGTCAGTTTATAGCTCGGTCTTGTATATAACATTATGTTGTTTACGTAGTTACTGGTAAAAATAGATACTAGTAAAAATAGATACTAGTACAAATAGTAAAATGTTCAAGAATTAAAATTAGTACATTCGAATGCATATGCTACTGATATATTTAATATACGACACGACAAATTCGAAAACAGTTTTTTTCTGTGTCATTTGGTTTTGTTTTCTCTTTTATCATATTTTATTCATTTATTAATTATTCTAATAATTTTTTTCTGCCCTAATTCTGTCACACAAAAGAAAATACAATGCAAAATTATAAATATTTTTATCTAAATTTGATTTCGTGATACTGTATTGATAAATAATTGAATGTTTTCGTTTCCTGTTCATAAAGACGTAATTGTATGATTTGAACACGCATACCGATATGATCCAGTTTTGGTAAACGTCATTAAAATATGTGAAAAGATGTCATTTATAATAAATAATCTGTATTTCTCATAAAAGTATCACATGGTTCACCTGTAATCTATTGTCCCGTTTGTGTCAAATAAACTGATCATCAAAAACGTTAACGTATATTGAATTTTAAATTTTCATCAAAAGAATATTATTTTTTACCTATTTAAATTCTATTTTTAAATCGATTAACGTGTGAATGAAATAAATTTTATTACTTTTATAGGTGATTTGTAAGACTTTTAATACCAAATAATCTTATTGCCATATAAATCATTTGAAAAAAGATTTGTGACATTAAAATACAAACAGATCACATAAAAATTATATACATAAAAAAGACAAAAAAAACATATTATCCCATAAAACATGTATAAGTAAAAAAGCGAAACAATCTATTTATATATTTATATAAATAAATCAAAAGTCCCCTGTCCTCAGTTCTAATAGATATAGGAAGATGTGGTATGAGTGCCAATGAGACAACTCTCCATCCAAGTTACAATTTATAAAAGTAAACCATTATAGGTCAAGGTACGGCCTTCAACACGGAGCATTGGCTCACACCGAACAGCAAGCTTAAAAGGCCCCAAAACATTACTAGTGTAAAACCATTCAAACGAAAAACCAACGGTCTAATCTATATAAAAACGAGAAACGAGAAACACGTATGAACTACATAAACAGACGACAACTACTGTAATCAGATTCCTGACTTAGGACAGGTGCAAACATTTGCAGCGGGATTAAACGTTTTAATGGTACCAAACCTTCTCCCTTTTCTGAAACAATAGTATAACTTCACAACATAGAAAAACACACTATAAAATATCAATTGGAAGGCTTTAACTCAATCAAAAAACGTAAATGAACACACAATGAACGAATAAATATGCCTGTCTAAAAAAGGACCCTATTAGCCTTCTACTTTTTTCGAGGTTGATGGGCAAAGAAGACATTTAATTTTCTCATTTTCTTGCCAAGACATAAAATCTGGCATATGTTTTACTACATTTCCTAAAATGTTATCTCTTAGTTAAGAATTTTGTTTGCAGTATAAAATAAAATAAGCTTAATCCTGCAATGTATTACAGGATGGGCATAGTCTTTTTTCTCTAGTTATTGTTAAATGTCTTCCTTATATATTAATAAATTATGGTCGCTAATTCTCATTTTTGTTATGTTTAATACATAGCTTAAAAAGCATAAGCAATATATAGCACAGTACATCAACACTTCTATAGTAGGGCTGTACTGCTATCCCCTTGTCCGTCCGTTTGTCCAACAAGCCCTTTATCACACTTTTTCTCATAAACTGCAAAACAGAATGACCATTTGTTCAACAGCGCAACAGTGCCGAGAGATCATAAAAAAAGGCATTACATCGACCACCGAAAGCTATATTTTTATGTAGCCTAGGTGGACGAGTGGTCTAGGGCGCTGGACACGGTGCAGGCGGTGTCGCCACAATGGCACAGGCGCAAGGGTTCGAATCCCACTGAGGGAAGAACAAAAATTTACTAACGCAAACTTGAAGATCTAACATTGTTGGGCTCAATTTGAGACGAATTTTAAAATATTAGAAGTTCAATTTTTTATTCTTTGAATACATTTTTTTCAGGCAAAACATGAGAACAACAGACAAGTTAACAAATCGTGTCAGCGTGTGATTGACGACGACGTATGTCAGAAAAACATTACTGCAAACCTTCACAGATTGTGAATGGTAGCCACCGATTACGAGAAACCCTAAATGTGGGGTTGGAAATTACATTTGTATTTTAAATCATTTTTCCATAACTTGCGTGTCTTGCCATGTTGTTGAAATATAATGCAATAATGATGATAAATAAAAATCAAAATGTAGATTTCATGGTGTTCTGACAGCATCATTCTATACGTCATCAATTTTGGGTTAAACAAGTTCATGTTTAAATGTAAAATCAATGCTTTTCTGGTGTACAAAGTTTACAACATTCGTAACAATTTCGAAAAATCTGTTCTTCATGCATTTATATAATATATTAATTAATCAATCGATTGTTGATGTTTAACACCACTTTCGTCACTATTGGCTTTATCTTGGCGGTCAGTTTTTATTGGTGGAGGAAACCGGAGCACCCGGAGAGAACAATTTTATAGAATATAAGGAATATCTTTATGGTAATAACATCGGCTATGCCGTTGTCAGTTTATTTTTGACTTTTGAGTTGGAATGTCTCTTTGGTATATTTCGCCTGAGTCTCTTTTACTATATACTCAGACGAGTAAGAACCGTTAACGTTTTTTTGTGGACACTATTGTTGTAGACTGAATCTTGCTATCTAGATGTCTTTTTAGTAATTTTTGTCGTTGGGTTAATGTCTCAATGCCGTATACCTCAAAACTTTTATTTATCAATTGTCAATGACAATACAAAGCTACAATGGAATATATATCCGGTAACGGACCGCATCTTCCGTGTGTTTAAATTGTCTGGAAGATGATTCTTGATAGGTGTCTTATGGGTTCGCTTCAGATAACAAAGTTCTGAATTTTCCTAAACAAATATAAAAAGTCCAAATATATCTTACAGTAAAGAAAATCAAAAGCATGAATGTTTTATTTACAATTTTATTCCAAATGTATATTTTAATTAAATATAAAGTCTAACCAGATGTACAACCTAACCTATGTACACAAACCACAATGTTTTGGACAATATAACTTAGCTGCCTGAGCGTTTGCACAAATATTAAGTGTGTCTAGTTGGTTACAGTCAATACCAACTTTGTCTGCGCATGCTCCTGTACTGTGACCTGTTAAGATATAAACAAACGTATGCAGCATCTGATAGTGTATTCCTTTAATTTATTTCATAACTATTTCATCTTTAAACCATACGTAGCAGAACGATTACATACCTTCTTGGAGAAGTTCATTTAGGATTGCATTTGTACACCAGAAACGGAGAGGAAATTTAAATGTGATTTTCATGCAAAATATGACCCAAACTAAAATCCTTGATTCTCCTGTAATTTCTGTATCCATGTAGCAATTACTAATTTAAAACTATATTGTTTGGACGAAGATAGTACGTTTTTGTCTTTGTTTGTATGTTAGTTTGTTAGTTTGTTCGTTGTTCTTTGGTTTATTTGTTTATCATGATTTTTTCGGGGGAGGGAAAAAGTGTGATGTTTACCTTTATCAAACACGCATGCAGGATATGATATTTTTTATTTATCAGTAACATTGTAACGATTGTTTGCAGACGACCAAAACATATCTGACGGGTTAACAATATATTATAAAGAAAAAAAACAGCGATAATAGGAATCCTGATTACAGGACCTACGATGACAACATAAGAATTCTTTCACAAAAAACAAGACTTTTTTTTTCAATTTTAACACAGAAACTGTTTTGAAATATTGAAATGATATGGCATATTTATATATTGAATAAGTTTAATTCAATGTTGTCTTTAGTGTATACTAAATTTTACGGACACCATCACGAGTTGGTTGACCGTTATGGAATAACCGTTTCACAGATGATATCAGATATGTTCCTTATGTCGTAACTACTATACCTTTCCTTTTCACGAATGTGACCTACCGAATTAGACTATTTACCGGATTTGTAATAATATAAGCAACACGACGGGTGCCACATGTGGAGCAGGATCTGCTTACACTTCCGGAGCACCTGAGATCACCCCCAGTTTTTGGTAGAGTTTGTGTTGCTTAGACTTTAGTTTTCTGTGTCATCTGTACTATTATTTGTCTGTTTGTCTTTTTATTTTGGCCATGGCGTTGTCAGTTTGTTTTCGATCTATGAGTTTGAATGTTCCTCTGGTATCTTTCGTCCCTCTTTTGTTGAGTGTTCCATATTTGTGTATGTTTGTGCCACAAATTGTAGAAATTAAATGTAAAGAGAAGACGATAACACATGCAGAGGCGGATTTAGGGGGGGGGGGGGGGGGGTGGGGGTCGGGCCTCCCATTATGGAGCTGCATATATGATCAATGCATATACTTTTTACAAGCATCAGTTCAAACGTTCACTTGGCTAACTAGGTATCCCTCCCTTTTTCAAAATCCTGGATTCGCACCTGATATGGCGTTGATTTCTCATCACTTTGAATGTGATGTAGTATGTATAAGATTTTATTGATTATTGAGGTTACCATGTTTTTCCTTGTTTTTATAATTCATAAGTATATACCTTGTGCATTTGGGTCGAAGTCTAACAACATCTTGTTACATAGTGGAGTATCACAACACTTCACTTTTACAGTTTGTGCCTGTCTTTTTCTTCCAACTATAGTACCACCGCTAGCAATAGCATCGCATACCTGTAAATCAAAATCACACAAAAGGTATAACAACATATGAGGGTGTGGATGGGGGTGTACAGATAAGAGAATAATGGGCAAACAAATATAAAGGATACAGAAAAATGGACCAAAAAAATAAAGAATAGAGAATAATGAGGTGCTAAAATTTAAAGAATAGAGAAAAATGGGGAAAAAAGTATAAAGAATAGAGAAAAATGGCCTAAAAAATTAAAGAATGCAGAAATGAAGGACCCCTACCAGACCCTCCTGTATCAACTTTGTGCACTGTTTTGTTTGTATTTTCATATTTTAGTCGTTTTTTTCTTTTTAATAATGGTGTTGTCTTATTTTAATCGGACTTGTTTTTTACGAATTGGCGAAATGAAAATTATCTTCACAATACAATGTATCATCATGAATGTAATTTTTACAAGAAATATTATTTTTTATCATTTAATAAAAAAATATCACCAAAATGAGATAACACTTTTTTTAGCAACTCTATAAAAATTAAAAAAAAGATTATGGTAGAACTAATTGCGTGCGTTAACATAATTTATTCATTATTTCTCAGTAGATACTCTGACATAATACATATAAATAAAATCATTAAGAAAACAAATATATATGCATATCACCATAAGTCGTTTTTATAACTTACCAATTTACTCTGACATGTCAGTGAATATCTTGTTAATCCATCTACAATATAAGATGCTTCCTCACAAGCCTGAAACAAAATATATACAACTCTGTAATTTTCTAATGCTAAAACAATGGTTACATCTCCGTGAGGCAAGATGAAAGCAAACAATGGACGTGTGACATATTTGTTTTCATGCTTTCAAACGTTTTGGCTTGGGTGTACAAAATGAATGTTGTACGTTCCAGAAACACGTCTTGTGCGCACATACATGTAAATCTTATCATTTGATAATTCATTTGTAGATACAGCATTTAAATTTGTTCAAGGAAGATTACATGTACTGAAGCTTATTTTCTGTAGCATACACTTGCAATTTGAAAAAATAAATATTTATGGCCATTTACAGAAATGTTGATATACAATATACTGATTATATAGTTCCCAAAAACGTCGTCTCCCAAATAAAAACAACTTTATTGAATCGGTATATTCCAATCGCTTTTCCGAGTTTCCAGTCACCAGGGACGGAACCCCCCCCCTCCAAAAAAAAAAGGAGATCAATGTATTTAAATACACGAGGAGCTGTAAAAAACCAAAAGGGACTCTTGTCTTTTGAAAATGCAGATATTGTTTTGGAAAACAATTCAGGTATCTTTCAAAATGACTCACCTCTCCAGCTGCACATTGCATGGTTTCTTTACAGTCGGAAGGTTTATCTAAACCATCGCAATGGTAGCAGGTAATACCATGGGCTACAAAAAATTATTAGTACACCAGTAGTTTTAATCATTAATACGAATGATTATAATTATATAATTGGTACACATACAGCAAATTATTGGTTAACTAAATGTTAGGAATGATATATGTACAGAATACATGTATCTCTTTGTGTATCATGTTTCTAGTCTTTCCAGATTATTTCAGAATTTTGTTCAAATCGAAATATTGATGAGACGTCTTTCATATAACATGTATAAAATCGAAACTTAAATATCGGACAGTACAACAGATCAAGCCAATCACCAATACCTGACTCCATTGAAAATATACCAACAAAGACAAAAAACACAAATGGTCAAGTAAGCCTGACTTCTTACAATGTACTAAAGTATTGTTTTCCAAATACAAATGTATGAGCAATAGCTGTTGTTTGCTTTTCATGTATGTTTAACTGAATGTTCTACATAGATGGGTTGTGAGTCCGAATTCCGCACTCGGCAGGTGCGTTCGACTCCGTTCTTAATCGATTAGGATTGTCAGTTTTCCTGACAAAGGTCGGGCGTTCTCTCCGGCTACCTCCACCAATCATCGAAAAACTGGCCGCCACGAAAATGCCAAAAGTGCTTACAGTGGCGTTAAACACCAACAATCAATCAATCAAATTACATTGCTGTCTAGACTAACGTACCTCTACATTGTATGACAACATCCTGGTTGTGTGTACAGTGGTTAGTACCCCATCTATCGTGACTGCATTGGTCGAGTGAGGTCTCATTTCCTTGACATTGTACGTGGTCCATCCAGATAGGCATAGAGCTATTTGTTGTGGCAGATCCGACAGATGTTGTCTGTTTAATTACTGGTGTATCACTGACAAACGATAGAGGATGATTTGTTATATTGATTGGCGCTTTATTGAATCCACTAATTGGTTAATTAAATACCAACAAACTAATTCCGAATATTGAACAGATATATCATGTTAAGGAGGGGTATTTGCGAAAAATACCAGTCGAGAGAATATTAAATTTCGCGAGCCGTAAGGCGAGGGAAATTAATTCTCAAGACTGGTATTTTTCGCAATTACCCCTCAAGAACATGCTATATCTGTTTAATTACACCGAATGTTAACGTTCAAAAACGCATTGATGATCGTGACGTTACAAGCGTCCAGTCGGATAGAGTATTTTTTGGCAAATACCACGGCAGAGAGGGTAAAAAAGGCATATCCTTTTTGCATATACCCCGGCGGCGTTAAAAAATGAACGATATTCATTTGATAACAGTAAATTGGTGAAAAATACACTGGCTATCAACCAATCAAAACCCAGGATTCTTACATAAGGTGTAATTAATATATATATATAATTCAAGTCAATTTGATATCTTATTTGCATCTCACTTTATGCATACACTAAAACAATACAATGAGAAAAGAGTATAACATTTTTTTGTGCATAAGCCAATCTGTGTAGACTTATGAGAGACGATAACAACTAAAGCAACATGTACATATTTATTAATTAAACATGAATGATGAAAATATACAGCTTAATTGTTACATTATTTAAAATGTAAAAACCAATCTGAAACCGTATAAAGCCTTGCACTTTTAAAAATTGATGGTGTTTCTCTTTATTTCTTTAAGTATGCATTGTATATGTTGTGGTGTCTCGTGAACAGCTATGAAATATTAGATTTAAAAACCTGTGAGAAGAGCTGACTGTTTCATACTATGCTCCCTCATTAATAATAAAAGTTACGACAATAAAGTACTAAACAATTTTCTCCATTCTTAATATTTTTGCACCCCATTCTCTATTCTTTATTATTTTTTTTTTTTTTGTATTCTTGGCTCATTTTTGATCTTTTCTGTAAACCCCATCCAGACCCTCATATATTCTACAACGTGGATTCATTTTTTCAAGTATATTTGGGAGTGCAACTACAAAAACTAAGTTCTTAATTAGAATAAAAAGGAATCTTTTCACATAAGTGTATTTGTAAATGCTCTTTTGTTCCGACATTGGAAAGTTTCGGGCGGAAAGAACTAACAAATGCTCTTTTGTTCCGACATTGGAAAGTTCCGGGCGGAAAGAACTAATTAGCCGAAAAGTTCCGGAGGAACTTATTAACTAGTTACTTTGTTCTTCCTCTGGTTTAAAAGTTCCACCGGAACAAAGTGACTAGTTGAAAAGTTCCAACGGAACATATCAACTAGTTAAAAAGTTCCTTTTTGCCAAATTAGTCAAAACCGGAGCTAACAAACTAGCCCAAAAGTTCCAACGGAACTTATCAACCAGGCAGAAAGTTCCATTTGGAGAATTGATGCAAAGTAAAAGCGCAACATATTATATTTGAACCTTTCAAAGGGAAACCAAGATACTGATACTCTTTGGCAAATAAGTCAAAACCGGAACTAACAAACAAGCCCAAAAGTTCCAACGGAACTTATCAACCAGTCACAAAGTTCCATTTAGAGAATTGATGCAAAGAACCACATGAGGAGGGGGGTATTCTTCCCTCTCTTGAGGGTACTATGAATACTAAATTTGCATGATAATGCAACTTATTCCGTTTTATGTGAGCTATGAAATACAACTTAAATTTTGAATATTTGTCCCCAAAGAAACCCCTTTCAGTGCGTTGGGTATTCTTGTAAATTAATGATTTGATCTTATATATACTGATACTCATTCTTCACCCTCTTTCTACAAAAAGGACGAAATATGGTATATTTGGAACGATGTAAGGGAGCTACCATTTGATTTTTATGGGGGGCTAGGATGAAAAATTTTGTCCTGCCTTTTTATTTTTCCCTCTATTCGGTCCTGCCTTTTTATTTTTCACTCTATTCGGTCCTGCCTTTTTTTTTTTTAGTTTATCCTGACTTTTTGTTTTACATAAATTGTCAAAATAATTTCATCCTGCCTTTTTTTTTAACTCAAAACTCCTGTCCTGCCTATTTTTTTCAAATTTCATCCTAGCCCCCCATATAAATCAAATGGTAGCTCCCTAACTAGTTGTTCTGTTCCGCCAGAACTATTCAAATAGCTACATTGTTCCGGGACTTTTCAACTAGGAATCTGATTACAGTAGTTGTCGTCTGTTTATGTAGTTCATACGTGTTTCTCGTTTCTCGTTTTTATATAGATTAGACCGTTGGTTTTTCCGTTTGAATGGTTTTACACTAGTAATGTTTTGAGGCCCTTTATAGCTTGCTGTTCGGTGTGAGCCAATGCTCCGTGTTGAAGGCCGTACCTTGACCTATAATGGTTTACTTTTATAAATTGTAACTTGGATGGAGAGTTGTCTCATTGGCACTCAGACCCCATCTTCCTATATCTTTTTCTTATCTACTTTTTTCCGGAACTTTTCGACTGCACTCGGAATAAAACAACTAGTTGGAAAGTTCCATCGGAACGAAATAACTAGTTGAAAAGTTCCGCCGGAACAAAGTAACTGACGGAACATAGTGGCTGTTACATATTCGCATTTATATATTGTGATCATTTATATACCTTGGATATCCCAGCATAGTACAGACAACTTGAGCTGCTTGTTTGTTAAACCCATCACTACAAACCGTTCCCCACTGGTTTAAATGGAATACCTCTAATCGTCCTTCAAAGGGTACTGAGGTACCAGTTAGACGGACAGGACTCTCAGTTTTACCTGCCATGTAACAAATACTTCTTTTAATATTATTGATTAAAATGTAATCGTGTTCTAATGTATTTTGACTGTTTTGTCTGACCAAACATCTTTATAATTTTGGAAAACAAAAGTTAGATGCCGACAAAAAAAGTAACACACATGATCGAGCTGACACTCAGTATCAACTTCCGAAGCAAGGTTGTCGGCTCTCCGAACCCATTGGCGAATATACAAAACATCTCTCCTACGTCAATAGTCACGAGGTGTGTAACAAGTAAAAATTTCTTCATTAAAAATACTTTCAATATGGCGTACATGTCAACAAAACTACAATAAAGTCTTTAGTACATTGTTTGAACATCGTTATGTGTTTATAGTATTAGATTTATTCTGATTTCTGTTTAGACAGATAAAAAGATACTATTTGTTTTCATATAGTCGTTTTGACACTCGGTTGCTTTTATAAATAGAAGTGTTTTCACAATACCGAGGCAAAATGGAATTAAAAAAAAAAACTCTTTTGTTTCGGAATTTATCAATTGTTCCGATTAAAAACTTCAACACTGTGGCAATATTTATTACCTTCGCATCGAATTCCAACATCTTCTGAATGGTCACAGTTATTGGTTAAATATGCATTATGACGACATCTAGACAAGCTGTCTTCTCGTCCGGAACAAGCAACATTATCCAGTATAATTGATCCTGTTCCTTCTCCAAAATGGGCAGCATGTACAGCTTGAGCATTTGATCTTTAAAATGGCAAAACTAAATATTATAGTAAATTATACAGTATCATGTATTTTTATGGTTAATGATGGACTTATAGATTATGCAGCCAAAAGGAAAACAATTATTAGTTTAATCGCTCAACATTATGTATTGGCATCTAAACTTTATTTTTAGGGCCTCGGTGGCCGAGTGGTCTAAGTCGTTCAAGTACTGTATGACTAACCAGTCAACACTGAGGATGTGAGTTCGAGCCCCGCACATGGCAGGTGCGTTAGACTCCAATCTTAATTGACCATGATTGGCAGTTTTCCTACCGAATGTCAGCGGTTCTCTCCGGGCACTCCGGGCAATCAATCAATCATTCAATCAAAAAATCAAATGAACAATCAATTAATCAATCAATCAAACCTTCATTTTGAATTTGGTATGGTACATGTACTAGTCGTTAATGGTGTACATGTACTTTTCATTCCGGTCTACTTACATTTTACGAGTTACTTTTATTAGCAGTTTTGTATAACAGGAGTGTTTACTTAGTCTTGAGAAATCAACGATACAATACATACATAATCAGAATGCCTTTATATATTTAAGTTTAGTATTTTACAAGTAACTTGGACCTTGACCGCTTTGTGTTAAAGGCGTGTGAAATATACGTCATTATACATACTCGGAATACCCTAGCATTCTACATGCAACTTTGGCAGCTCTGTAGTCAAATTGGTCATCACAAACAGTACCCCACTGACCATGATAGTTAACCTCTAAACGACCCTCGTACTGTGTTTTTCCATTCACTAATCTTATTCTTAAATCATTGGTGATATTACCTAGAAAAGAGTTTATAAACAACAAAACATGTAATATTTTAAAAGTAAGCAAACTTTCAGTAACTGCGAGAACTATTGGTCATAAGTGCGCGAGGACATGGTCCTGTGTTGAGCCCTCATGGTCCCTCCCCTTAATTATCATAAATCCCCGATGTTCCAATATACATATGGTACAAATAATTGGTTCAAATAACTGAGATATATCGGAAAATCGGGATTTATGATAGTGAAGGGGAGGGACTATGGGGCTCTACACATGGTCCTGTCCTCACGCACCAATAATCTTAGATAAAATATGAAATTGTTTAAAAAGTATTATTGTTTATTTTAGACCTTGTTTTTGTCTTTTATTATTTCTTTACTTTTGAGAAATTGACCAATGAATCGACGTGTTACGTGCAATTAAATGTTCCAAAATCTTCTTTTTCAGTTTTGATTAAAATCTCATATGACATAGATAGAGTTCAATTCGTCAGAAACGTCAATCCCTCCGATCAGTCAAAGATTCTCACTACAAGTCTGACGGATTGGTGATGTTAGTTTGACGCGAATTTGACTGATTGGCGACTGGTCGATGACTGCTGACTGATGGCTAAAAATTTTACGCACAAGGTTGCAAGTACTGTACCACCTACCAGCATTGCAGATAACACCGGCGTCCTCTGTGTGATCACAGTCATGATTTCCATAACCGTCAAACTGACAATCTCCAATGCTCGCCTCTGCACCACTACACTTCAACTCGTCCATAAAAATAGGGCCAGTAGCTCCAGACCAACGGGAATTTCCGATTGCTATAGCTGTACTGGTAAAATAAAATGTATCTATAGTATGAATGGTATGAATGGTATGGATATAGACACAAATAATCATTCATTTGAATGTTCCGAAGTCATCACCCGCTGCTGCCACCCAACCCACAGTATTGTTTTGGTCGACACATACATGTTAACGGATTACTGTAAAGGTTTCATTAAATATAGTCATTGTTTTGAAAGAGTTGTGGATCTACCTCATTTGAAGGTACTGGAATGGCAATACCATATGAATAAAAAGATATACATTAGTTTTATTGTGGAACGCGCCGAATATCATTTGGATAAAAAATGAATTAGGAAGTGCACAATGCTATACTATACTAAATCTAATGTTGATGCAAGATACAAGATATCTTATCAGCCATTTATGGCTCCCATTGCTGAGAATAGTAATCATGCATCACAAAACAAAATAGATACATAGTCTATAGGATGGACGAATGTTATGACAGACGGTCGAATAGATATAACAATCACTATATACCACCGATTCATGAGTTTTTATATTTTAAAAAAAAATTTAGGCCAGCTTTTATCTAGAGATTTTAAATCTTACGTTTTTGTATACATTTATAAAATATTGAATTTCAAAAATCAAGTGTAGATAGCTACATGTAATTCGCTTTCTGTAAAAATTAATTTATTCAGGACTAATTTTCTTAATTAAATTAATTAAACAATTTCCTTTAAGTTAACCGGACTTCCCAAGTTTTTAATGGGTTTGTTTTCTCTACACTTGTTTTTCTGTCTTATGTTTTGTAAACTCGTCTGTGTACTTTTGTCATTTTCTTTTAATCATGTGTTTTCTGTGATTCCATAAGTTTTTTTTATAATTATTTTCTCCGTGTGCTCAAACATTATTTTACATCCATGTCCAATCTAGCCAAAGTAATTAAAACTTTGACATCAAATTTTAATTATACCATATTAAGCTCAGTAATAGATGAGGGACTGGGTCTAGATGAGGTTTACAGAATAGAGAATAATGTCTAAAAAAATAAATAAAAAACCCCAAAAAAAACTAAGCAATAAAAAATAAAGTATTGAGAATAATTGGGGGTCAACAGTATATATTAAAGAACTTTGGAAATTAAACAACAAGGTAATGCAATACTGATTGCAGAAATGTACGATGTACAGAATAAAGATATCACATAATTACAGATAAACTTTACGATGTACAGAATAAAGATATCACATAATTACAGATAAACTTTACGATGTACAGAATAAAGATATCACATAATTACAGATAAACTTTACGATGTACAGAATAAAGATATCACATAATTACAGATAAACTTAACAGTAATGCAGTTTTCATGAGAATTTACAGACCGCGTTATTTTTAAAGATAGACTATATTAATAAGACCAAAATATTATGGAATACAGAAATACAAGGACCACCGTCCAGACCCCCGTTCATTTGAAATACATTATAAACCCACTTTGTATCTTTATTCTTACCCATTAAATCCAAGCATTCTACAAACAACACGTGCTTCTCTATCATCGAATTGATCATCACAAACTGTACCCCATCGGCTGCCATGTTGGATCTCAACCCGACCTTCAGTAGCAGAAGATCCACCGACCAAACGAACAGCTGTTACACCCCCAACTGAAAATTAATTGCATCAAGAAATGTTTGTAGCATGATGCTGTTTATGAAGTCTCATAAATGAACTCCCCTTATAACTCACGAATTAATATATATGTATATATACCTCTTTGGGACAATCGGCAATCCTCGGATGAATCCGCTTCTCTCGTTAGATGGAGGAACGGAATCGGCCGAGTTTAGACGAATGCTCTTTGGGACAGGCTATTTATCAATCAAAGCATCTAAGTAAATACATTTCTTATAGAGTGGGAATCTCAACCAAATACCTTACATTTTACTGCTTCCCTTTCAGGGATCACCTGAGTTCAGCCCTAGTGTAATTATAAAGGGGTTCATGTTGCGTTCGTTTTAAGGGTTGTATTTTATGTTTTTTTTTATTTTTCAATGTCGGTATTGTCTCTACCGGCAGCCAATATCTCGTTTATCCATAGTCCTGGAAAACCTCGCTTTCATTTCCAATCTAGTCTTAGGGATAAATAATTTACATGTACCGATACGTTTTTGTATTTGGTGATGACTTAGGGTTATATTAGAGTCATTTATCAATCAGCTATTGTTACATTCTCTTCTGGGATGACCCCTTGGACTCACTAAATGTAGAATTCGATAAATTCTGACAAAATCAAACGATAAAGTCTAATCAGAAATAAATAACTGGTATCACCATCTATACTATTAAATGAGAAGACCTCATTTTGTGTGTCGCTTCTCTTCCTTCCACAATAAATTAATCATCATGCCTCTGTGTCCTATAAGTACCATGCATAGTCGCATTTGTCATCCTCGCTTACGATTATTCAGTTTGGGTTATTTTGGAAGGAAAACGAAAATAAAGGCGTCCAGATATTGTTTCCGTCATCGGACAGATTTTTAAGTCATAGACAAGATTTCCTTTAAGTTAGGACTGTTTTAAGTATTTGGGGACAGGACAATTATTTTCGCGTTTTTCTGTATACGGGTCATTTTAAAAAAATGTCGAATTTTCAGTACACCCATGCTAATTTTTTTTTATTTCTAATGGAAAATGCAGTTGTATTAGTGTTTAATTGAAAGTTTGTAGGATTTGTGAGTCAGAACATTAATAATAATCATGACTTAGATCTATTTTGATAAGATTAAAATACATTAAAGTCCGATTTTGGCGTAATTTATGTGCGTACAGTGTCCGAGTAACACATTTCAAATGATTGTTTTCCTATTTTCTGATCGCCTTGATATCTGCAAAAGGGACTTTTTTAGAACGTAAATAATAACTCTAATGAAAAATCGTAGCTTCTTTATTATTATATGTAACATTTTTTCTACAAACTAAATTCAATCAGCGTACATGAAGTTCATGTCCATCCTGTTACCGCTACTTAGATCGGCCGTTGAATTTTTCTCCCTATGAATATTGAACTGATCAGTGTTGATTTCAAAAGCGCAAAGTAACCTAAACATTTAACGCAGCACATTTCTTGTATAACAGTGTAGAGAAAAGAAATTTCAAGATATTTAGCGAAAAAAAAATAGTGGGTACTTTTTTTTCATGTCTATGCTGTTACCAACATATTGATTAATTACACCAATATTATACTTGCAAAAAGTGCAATGACGTGTTGGAAACCAAAATCACAACAGAAAAACATTATCACTTCATCAAAGGGAGTAGTTATTTCACAACAGCATTCAAAAATGAAGAAATTTGTCTATCCTGTTACTATGGTTGCTATGGTTACAGTAACAGATAGACAATAGTAGACAGAAACGTCTTTAAGAAATTTATAATAACACATAGTTGCACACATAATGAAATGTTTCGTTGTTTGAACTCATCTAAAGGTTATAACGCCTTAATCTTCGCAATTTAGCATTTGCATGTACAATACTGCTATCGGTAACAGGATAGACAAAAAAGTAACAGGATAGAACTTAATATAGTGATATATCATTTACGTACGTTCCTGTTACCAATAAAATAAAGAAAAAAGTAAACCAACGTGCGAGGGATTTACTTGATGTTGAGTTTATTTCAAAGAGAGAAAAAAATGAATTGATACCTTAGACTTGGATTACTGGTGGTTATTTTTATGACCTTTGAAAACCAATTTTTATAGGCATTTTTCAGTACAACATGGAAAATTGGCAAATAATCTATAATTTGACAGAATGAATATATTATAGAAGTTTTTACTCTTGAAAACCATCTTATTGGCTACGAAAAACAAGCTTAAAATTTTATCGAAACCTTTTCTAAATAACCCGAAATTTCTTTTGAACATGGTAACAGGAGAGACAAAATATTGCACCACCTATCAAAAAATGTTTCAATATATTCTTGTATGACATTATCAAGATTGCATCTTTTTATATGTTGTTCTATAAGTACTGTTTGTTTTGGTTTGCTTATGACGAGGGACGTTTGCATAAGTAACTTTAAATCAATTTCAAAATTTCAAAATTCGACATTTTTTGAAAATGACCCATACAATGATCATACATATACTATAAATAAAGTGTATTTACTATTTACTATCAATTCAAATATAATATATCAGTGACCGCCGTGGATAGTAAACTTGGAATTGATAGCAAATAGCAAGTACACTTTATTTATAGTATATGTATGTTTATAGTATACAGAAAAACAGAAAACAAAAAATAACGGACTTTGGAAAAAAAGGGGAGGGCTAAAAAAAATAGTCCTGTCACCAAGTACCTATGACTTTTGATACCGTTCCTGAAATTCTCCAGTCATAAAATCGTTTACAAAAATTCATCCTACAACAGTTTACATACTTTCAACCACGCTCTAAATGCCCGCGATTTCGCGGGTGTGTTCTAGTAATTATGAAAAGAAGAAAAAACAACTATTCAAAAGTACAGTTTTCCGACTTCTATCTAATAAATATAATATCAAAAATGAATTAAAGTAAATTGCTAATGAAAATGTTTCTTTCAATTACCTGAATTGCCTAAACAACTTACCATCCTTGCCTGAACAACTTACACCGGCGTCCTCGGTATGATCACAATCGTGGTTTCCAAAACCACCAAAGTTACACATTCCTAGAGTGGACTCTGATCCCGCACAGGCAACATCATCCATTAATATGTCTCCTGTACCAGCTCCGAAATACGCACCGCCAAATGGTTTTGGACTACCACTAATCAAATTGAAAAACAATATCTTAAATAACTGATGGCAATAAATCACGGTAAGACTTATCAACGAATATTAACAACATATTTCAAGAAGATACTATTATACCAGATCTACATCAAAGTGTTTAAATAAAGATATGCGAGAAGTCGCGATCATAATAAACAATTTACAGTAATAAAAAAATTTAACATTCTTAGTCTAATAAATCGAAATTTGCTTTTTGTGAATTTTCGTAACATTTGAAAGTCATGTTTAGTTACAACTTCCAAGCGAGGACCGATGCTCATAAACTCGACAATCGGACTTCGGGAAAGTTCGGAGAGCCGACATCCTTGCTTCGGAAGTTGGGTTGGTTACTGTCAGTTTAGATATGTGATCGTTCTGACATACCCTGTATATCCAAGCATCTTGCAGACCACTGTGGCATCTTGGGCATTCCAACCATCATCACATACGGTTCCCCATCCTTTACCAAAGTTGACCTCTACTCGACCTTCATCAGTAGTTGTACCACCAACCAGACGCACTTGGACATTTGGAGGTTGATCTAAAGATATTCAAAGTTAACAGTAAAATTTGAATTACAAACATGACTGTCTGTAATAACACAGTAAGAATACGTACTATTTATTAGCAGAGGTACATGCTAAAATTGAGAATCGAAATGAGGAATGTCAGTGGCGGATCCAGAACTTTAGTTAGAGGGGCCCACTGACTGACCTAATGGGGGCCGCTCCAGTCATGCTTCAGTGATTCCCTATGTAATCAACCAAACTTTTCCCACAAAAGGAGGGGGCCAGGGCCCCCTGGATCCGCCTATGAATGTGTCAAAGAGACAACATCCCGACCAAAGAGCAGAAAACAGCCGAAGGCCGCCAATGGGTCTTCAACACAACGAGAATATCCCGCACCCGGAGGCGGGCTTCAGCTGGCCCCTAAACAAAAATGCATATTTTAAATTTTATTCAAAACGTTGTTACTGATAGTACCACGCAATCCACGAAAATTGGTATCCAACGAAAAATAATGAATCTACAGAAGTGTATTGAATTCGAATCATACTTGAATTAAAGGATTATTTTTCTGCAAAGGTGGTAAAAACAAATTGAGAGAAAATGTAACTACACCATTTGGAACATTTTATGACTGCATGGATTTGCAAAACTATAACTTATTTCTTCCATGGTAACTGAATCTACCGGCATCTCATCGCTTATACCTTGCATGACAAATAAGAAAAAATTCCACACTTTATTGGTCTCTACAGGTACAAGACCTTCTTAACGAAAGACAAGTAAGGACAATCGATTCTTGATTTTTTTTAATTTTTTCAAGTCGACATTTCTCAGTTCCAATATAAAAATAAGGAGATGTGGTTTCATAGCCAATGAGATAATAACCAAGAGTGTTCAAATGAAGTGGATATAAGCAGTTACAGGTCATTGTACAGCCTTCAACAATGAGAAAAACGCAAGTTATTATTTCTCTCTTCTAAGTTGGAACTGATTAATGTCACTTGGAACTGAGAAAAGTCAAGTTGGAACCCAGAAATGTCAAGTTGGGACAGATATAGGTCAAACTGAGGAATATCAAGTTTGAACTGATCAATGTCACTTGGAACTGAGAAATGTCAATTTTGGACTGAGAAATGTGTAGTTTGAACTAATCAATGTCACTTGGAACTTAGAAATCTGAAGTTGGGACTGAGAAATGTGATGAAGTTGGGACTGGGAAATGTCAAGTTGAGACTGTGAAATGTGAAGTTGGGACAGATAAAGGTCAACTTTGAATTGATAAATGTCAAGTTTGAACTGATCAATGTCATTTGGAACAGAGAAATTTCAAGTTGGGACTGAGAAATGTGAAGTTGGGACAGATAAATGTCAACTTGGAACTGAGAAATGTCAAGTTTGAACTGATCAATGTCACTTGGTACTGGAAAATGTCAGTTTGGGACTAAGAAATATGAAGCTTGAACTGATCAATGCCAATTCTAATTGGGAAATGTCAAGTTTGGACAGAGAAATGTCAAGTTGGAACTTATCAATGGCTAGTTGGAAATTAGCAATGTCACGTGAAACTGGGAAATGTCAATTTGAGACTGAGGAATGTCAATTTGGAACTGAGAAATGTGAAGTTTGAACTTATCAATGTCATTTGGAAATGGGAAATATCAAGTTTGGACGGAGAAATGTCAAATTGAACCTTATCAAATGTCAAGTTGGAACTAGGATATGTCAATTGGAACTTGGAAATATCAATGTGAAGTCTGAATTTATCAAAATCAAATTGGGATTGAGAATGTGAAATTAGAAATAAATCTTGTCAAAATGGAAATAAAGAATGACAAAAAGAGAATGCCCTTACCAGCTTGTCGTACCTATGCGATAATAACACAAAACGTTATGTCATTGGAATATATTTGTTCTAATAGATACTTTAAAGCAATTCGCGATGAAAAAAGTTGACTTACCTACAATGTTCGTTAAAATATGTGTATTACATCTTTACATACTCTGTCGTGAGTAATTTAAACTAAACTGTTTGCATTCTTGGTTTTTTTTTTTATTAGAAACGTTAGTAAATTTGTTTATGGAGGAATGTCTACAAAGGTCAACAACGTACCAGCGCAACGAACACCGATGTCTTCAGTGTGATCACAGTCATTGTCTCCTATTGCTGTCATATTGCAGTTGAGTATATCTGTTTCAGTACCAATACAGTGAACGTCATCAAAATAGATTGGTGCTGTCGTCAACCCGGAACCAAACGCAGCTGGTGTCGCATATGTTCTATATTAATTGAAATAATAGACTGTAGTATAATTTAAAATTACCGACAACACCTTCAATATGTGTAAAAATTAAAGCTGAATCAGTGATTACAAGTTTCCGCGTTCTTATCAAAAACAAAATAATAATGGTAAACTATTAAGTTAACCCTTTCAATTTCATCATGTTCATACTTTCTTGCCTTTAAATAAGTTATCTCGTGGTTGTAATATTCAATTAGTTCAATGTGATTGAGATAAGAGCTTGTCATAATGTATATATATAACCTTTTCTTTGATAAAGTGCAAAAAGTGTTCCATGCGTACAAGTGTTCCATGTGCAAAACAATGGCTCCATGCGTGCAATAAGTGTTACATGCGTGAAACAAGTGTTTCATACGCACAAAAAGTGTTCTATGATTACAAAAGGTGTTTCTGCAATAACTTTCATCAGGGTACACAATTGACCAGAAGCTTAGATGACCAAATAAATAGAACGCTGATAAGCAGGAAAACCCAAAGAGTCTAGACATATCAGCTAAAACCTTAAGTTAACTTACCAAGTTGTTTACACAATACCATAGCCGAGGTAGCATCAAACTCAATATCACACATAGTGCCCCATAATCCAACGATACAATCTTATAATAAGTCAACTTACGATGGACGACCAAGTTGTTTACACAATATCTAAGTCGAGATAGCATCAAACTCATCATCATACATAGTGCCCCATACACCATTGATAAAACCTTAAGTTAACTTACGATGGACGATCAAGTTGTTTACACACTATCTTCGCCGAGGTAGCGTCAAACTCATCATCACACATAGTGCCCCATACATCATTGATAAAACCTTAAGTCAACTTACGATGAACGGCTAAGTTGTTTACACAATATCTTAGCCGGGTAGCATCAAACTCAATGACATCATCACACATAGTGCCCCATACACCATTGATAAAATTTTAAGTCAACTTACGATGGACGACCAAGTTGTTTGCACAATATCTTAGCCGAAGTAGCATCACACTCATCATCACACATAGTGCCCCATACACCATTGATAAAACTTTAAGTCAACTTACGATGGATGACCAAGTTGTTTACACAATATCTTAGCAGAAGTAGCATCAAACTCATCATCACACATAGTGCCCCATACACCATTGATATTAATTTCTACACGACCACTGTTCTGATCCGATCCATCAACCAAACGATACTGAACTTCACCTGAATGGAAACAACAGGATGTAAATAGAATGCTTAGTAGTAACTACACGCATAAGTAAATTGTAAGTTGTAATACAATCAATGGCGGTCGTTCTGTTTTAGTCGTGATATCGATGTCATTCAAGGCTGCACAAACCCAAACAGAAAACTATATTAATAATGTGTATATGATAATGCTTCTTCAACATCACACTGGTGTTTCAGGTCGATAGGGTTGTGACATTGGAAAATTCATATAATATCCTCTATATATCGAACTTATTGTTTAATCACATTATTTGTATCAGTTATTTTTAGACGATTTAAAATTCTAAATTAAGAAAAATGATCTTATTATGTCAACTGTATAGACGATTCAGATCTTTATCCAATGCAATTCTCTGAATGAAAATGTGGAATAGGCCCATCATGGATAGTTCGGCCATGTTAAATAGGGGGCAGATTTTCATAATGGAGGTAAAAATGGTTTGCAAAATGCGGGAAAACATAATTAAAACAGAACAGTTGCTTGGAAACATGCATAGGATTTCCCGTACTATCATACTATTTCACCTCTATCCAAAAAATCTGCCCCCTATTCAATATGGCCGAACTAACCGTGAAGTGGCCTTTTGATGCATTATCCCGTAAACTACAATGTATGTTTCACACACTTGATATGTAATATCATAAGGGAACTACTGTTTGATTTCTCTGTTTTTGGGAAAGGGGGAAGGAGTTTTTGAAATGGATATTTTGGACTGGAAGGAAATGAACAAAATAATGTTGCCGAAGACAGGATAAAACAAATATTCTGACAAACAAAATGTTGTTTACAAAAATGAAAATAAATAAGCAGTCCTAGAAACAGGTACACATGATTATTGAACTAGAAAAAAAGACATACAACCCACAGAAACTAATATTATTACACATTCGTTTATTTTCGTTTGTATTTTTTATCGATATAAAAAGGGGAAAGACTGAGAACTTTAAAAATCGTGTTTAACCACATTACATTGTACACGTTCACCTGCCTGTCCAAACCCGGGATCTTTGATAGATTATGTTGAACTTTAACGCCTTTTCTACGCAATTTGGATCTTGAAATAATGTGTTGAAACTTGTTTATTGTTAAAATTTGTTTGTTGACCTTCCAGATATCTTTTTTTTTTGCTTTTGATTTTTAATGTTGTAAGGTTCTTGTCCCAAACGTCTATCTTACGTTTTAATATGCCAGTTAGTTTTTCTTTGTTGACATATTTGTTTGTTTTTATAGTGATTAAGATTACAATACAATGTTGACTGCTGTACCCGTATTTTTGACATTTTACTTATTATGTCTGTTTGTTTTGTTCACACATGGTTGTCAATATAATGGAATTTTAAGCGACTGTCATACACGTGAGAGGTTTAGCTAGCTATAAAACAAGGTTTAATCTACCATTTTCTACATACGGAAATGCCTGTACCAAGTCAGGAATATGACAGTTGTTTTCCATTCGTTTGATGTGTTTGAGCTTTTTTATTTTGCCATTTGATAAGGGACTTTCCGATTTTAATTTTCTTTGGAATTCGGTATTTTTTTTATTTTACTTTTTCCTTGGAGAGGGTTGCTTACTTGAATCGCAAATAACACCTGCATCCTCGCTATGGAAACAGTCGTTAATGGCGCCACTTTGACATTGATCTATATTCTGTTCAGTACCAACGCAATTTAACTCATCATAAAAAATCTTCCCAGTTCCTGGTGGAAATACACCTTCAGCAGTTGGTGAAGCCACACCACTAAAACAAAATCATGTATTTGAAATTTTCATTTAAATTGCAATAATATCAAATATCGAAAATTATTATCCAAATTTATACTTAATGATTAGTCTATTGTTTGGTATTACATTCTCTTAGATTTTGAAGAACAATGTTGGTAGATATAAGAAGATGTGGTATGAGTGTCAATGAGACAACTCTCCATCCAAGTAACAATTTATAAAAGTAAACCTTTATAGGTCAAAGTACGGTCTTCAACACGGAGCCTTGGCTCACACCAAACAGTAAGCTATAAAGGGCCCCAAGAATTACTAGTGTAAAACCATTCAAACGGGAAAACCAACGGTCTAATCTATATAAAAAAAGAGGAACGAGAAACACTTATAAACCACATCAACAAACGACAACTACTGAACATCAGATTCCTGACTTAGGACAGGTGCAAACAAATGCAGCGGGTTTAAACGTTTTAATGGTACCAAACATTCAAATTATAACAAAGATTATGGAAAAGATGTCCAGTTGTAGATTTTGAATTCTTTCTGATTTCTTTCCTTATCTAAGAGTCAATATATGCCTTTATTTCAAGATCTTGAACCATTAAATAAATTAGTCCACAAAAAAAAGTCATTTTTACCAACACCCTAATCATATGTGTCATAATGGAGTCTTCATTAAACAGCCGTACGGAATGAGGGTGTCAAAAACTAGTTCATGACTCACATACTGATAAACACAACCTTACATGTTTTTATTTGCTATGGTTAAATGTTGAGTTGTTGAATTCTTGTATGTGTTTAAATTTTATTTGCTAATATAGCCTGATCCTTATTGGTGGAATATTGCTTAAAAAGATATCGAAATGGTTTTTAACGTTTTCACCATCTATTGTCACAAATGGTACAGCTTAGCTCATTGATGATCTAATGTGAAATGATAAATATACAAAACATCAAATAATTAATAAGTAATAAAAAACAAAGCTACTGACGACGATCAAAACCTAGAAAACAACAGAGAACAACCGAAATGTTTACATTCGGATATTCTTTGTAGGTATCTACAGTTACATACCCTTTGCTACCTAACATACGACATACGACTTCTGCGTCTGCCTTGTTGAAATGGTCATCACATATTGTTCCCATAACGCCATCTTTTGTTACTTGTATTGTACCGGAAGCTTTGCCAGACAGCTGCACTGTCACTGAAAGTGGTTTGAAAAATGGTGATCATAGTTTCTGAAACTTTATAAATTGATATCTATACAATTATACAATATATTGAAATGAACTTAAGAAAAAGAAAACGTTTGTTTGATTCCCAACTATACATCTACGTTGAGATCTATAAACAGTATCGTTTATGATATAATGTGAAACATCTGGACTAAATAAGCATTATTATATATATCTAAAACAAATTACAATGTGACTATTTCGTACTTTAAAGTAAAACGTGTGTGTATTGCCTGCTTTTCAAATTACAGACTTTTTTAGATTCTAGAATTTTTAAGAAATGGAGAACAAATCCTGAAATTGAATAGAAAGACTGTTGTCCTGTTAATTAGCCATATGGAAGGAGCATGTATGTAAGCTAACAATTTTCATTCTATAATAACCACCTGCTTTGGAATCTCGATGGTACTAAAATAATGTGATGGACTATCAAAGTCAAAATCATTGCAAGAACCAGTTGAAAGCACCATGCTTGTGTCACTTGCATTTTACTACTAATGTATGCATATGGATATATATCACAGTTTGTCCAACAAAGGAGGTGATTCCCCTTGCAAAAATACTCTGTATTTGAAACAATGACTGTTGAGAATACAAATTTTCTATGTAGGCATCTTAGAGTATGCATTGAATGCTTACCTTGACCTACTGCTGACTGTACAAAGACCACTGCAAAAGAGAAATAATGGACTATAAGTTAATGTATACTTTTTAAAAAAATGGTTGAAAAGTTAGCAGCAGCTATCAAAAGGTCTTGTTCATTCTTAAGTAAGATGCACAACATATTGTTTTTTATATTTTTTGAAAAATAAAAATAAGTTTGCATTTTATAACATATGACTATCTTTGTTACAAGGAATCTAAAAACGTTAATGTCCCAGTATGCTTATTGTTTAAACGTCAATTTAGTTTTCAAAGTTCACAAATGACATCTTTGGACGTAATGGAAATGAATATATACAGTGTATTTATTCATGACACAAAATCCCTTCACACACTTGGCAAAACCCAAAGAAACATTTATTTTATTTGTATTCAAGTTTTTATTGGTGGAGGATGCACCAGCTTCGGATAACTTACAGTTATTGATAGCTATTATAAAACGCATTTCCATGCATTGCCAAAACATATTATACACTGCTGAAAGGGTGAATTTTGCTTTATGGAAACCATAATATAAATTCATTATATATTGACGAATAAAACTACAATTTGTGAAGTAAAAATGAACAAAAGAAACACAGACCTGACAAAAATATGCAGCATAAATTCATCTTGAGTGACCAGTTTGCCCACTGCTGTTATAAGTAATGTATATAAGATTATAACCCAATGTTCGTCATAAGATAAGAAACTGGTTTGTAAGTCAAACTTTGGTCATTTTATCACGTTTGATTCACGGTTCGAATATTAGAACTGTTACAGCTACCTTGACACAAAAGTTGTGTTGTAAGAAATAAATGAATTTAAATTAAAATTATGAATGAACCAATCCATATGAAAGGTAAACATTTTCAGCCAATGTATTTTTCATTGATTTAGCCTACTAGTAATATTTGGTCATTTTTTGGCGCAGCTCAATTTATAGAAATTCCAAAACAAGTGCCCATAGACATTTGTATAAAGATTAATAGCTTAGTAATAGAGTTATTTAGGGGCCAGCTGAGGACTACCTCCGGGTGCGGGATTTTCTCGCTGCGTTGAAGACCCATTGGTGGCCTTCGGCTATTATCTGCTCTTTGGTCGGGTTGTTGTCTCTTTGACACATTCCGTATTTCCATTCTCAATTTTATTAATCTGTATTTTCTATAGACAATGTAAGCGTCTACTAAAGTGCAAAAAATCATCTAATCAGAATAACGAACCTAACTACGAAAATTATCACAATATATCTAGAAGGAAACATACAGTCTTCAACAACAAGTGTCCATACCCAGTATGGCAAGCTCTTTATCGTTCAGAGTCTATACAAGTTGCGAACAGAAACATTTAAAGTTCTAGCTGCCACTCACACCCTATTGTCTAAATAACAAAAAAAAAAAAAAAAAAAAAAAAACAACTTTAATATCAAATAAGTATATCTGAGGATATAATTAGGTCTATCGATTTAAAAGCAATGTATCTATTATACTATCATATGCATGCCAAACACAATTGTTATGCCATACCATTGACCTGAAAAACTAAAACCAACTGTTTTATTTGTAAAACAGAAGGGGATTCCCATTCACTGTGCTCTTAATGAACTTTGGCACACGGAACTAAATGTAACGAGCTTTATCTTTATACAAGATTCTAAAGATAAACGTCTATTACGAAATTTTCAAACAAAATAAAATGGCAACCTGTGGTTTTCTATGTACTTTTCTGAGTAAGTCAGAATACCTTTTGTTCATTTTTAGAATTACAAATGTATTTTCCTGTTACCCTGACCATTGTTTTTCATTGAAATGAAGATTTATTATGAGTTTTCATTACGTTTTGAAATTGTAATTATTATTTGAAATATGCATAAAACTTCAAAATTAATAACAATGGTTTGTATTTTTAGTCGACCATGTTTGCCTTTTCTTGTTGTTTTGTTTGTTTTTTTTCTGCAGGTTTTAATTTGATTTTTTTTAATGATTCTCCATTGTAATCCAAGTCACGTACCATTTATTAAAAAAATTTTGCGAAGGGCTGTATTTAAAGTGATAAATTGGCGTTGAGGCCTCAAAGATCAATATTTTGATTTTTTTTTATATACAATGTACCTTACAAATTGGTGCTCATACAACTATAGCCTTTGTATGAGGTCGATACGAGGTTTAATCGACATAAGAGAAGCATATTAACTGAGAGCAAAGTCCGAGGTCGATATGCCTTCTTGGTCGATATAACATCGTATTGACCTCAACCAAAGGCTACAATTGTTATATTATTAATCAATGACTATTGCATGAACAATGTAAATTTGGGATTTCTATAATGTATTTTTAGTAACATGCTGTATGTCCTGTGCAACGGCCGTTTTTGACCTACGAAAAGCTAAACACAACAGCATTGCTTGCAAACTGAGTAAATACAAATGTACATGTGATCAAGTTTTAACGAATCACAAATCCTGAAAAATATTCAATTAATTATAGTATACAATATGGATGTTCTGATGTATTTATTTTAGAAAAGTAAAAAGATATCGCAGAGGTGAAAAGAAGAACAGGCAATAACGCGAACAAACGAGAAAAAGTAAAACGACAAACAATTGTCGATTAAGGATGTTTTCTCTTCTTGTTTTTGAACTTTTGTCAGATATTTGGATTCCTCTGGTTTTATCCATGCAGTGCCGTTAAAATTTTTGCCAGCAAACCCCTACTTTTCTTTTCATAATTTTATTGCATATAGTTTAAAAAGGCCGATTTTGAGAATCTTATAAAATCCTTGTTATTTTTTCGTAGTATTTTATAAGAAAAAAGGTGCCAATGTTAAATGTATGAAAAATCCAGAGAGAATCACTTCCCGCCAAATTTTCAATAGCTTATATCTCGAAAACAAGCACACGGACCCTTCATTTTTTTCTGCTTTTTAAGTTTCTTTATTCATATACTTTCAATTAATAACAGTCTTTTAAAAAGCTTGTTATTTTGAAACAGTGTAGCGAACATCCTAAAACACAACACAGAAGAAAAAAAAAAAAGATTCAGCAAAACAAACCCCTCTTAGACTGGGAGGAACTTGGGTGTTTTTGTAATATATGTACATAAAGTTCACTAGTCGTGATATATATGGCATGATAAACTTATGGCAAGACATAACAACGGAATAGAGGACTGTGTTTGGAACCACGACAAAATGAACACGTTGTTATCCGTGACAACATTATTTCGTAGCAGAAATCTTGGCTAAAATGGCGGCTGCTAAAATATTGAGACCATTTTCGTTAATATCTTTTTGCAAATGAAAGAATGATTTCAAATAAAACAGCAATGCACTAACACTTTGATTGTTATAGAAGAATATCATGGTACAATTTCTAGCTATGTTTTAGAATCTGCTCATCATTTTTCTTTTCAGTTTCTTTAGCTTTTGGAACAAACGCTTTTCTAAGTGAGTATACTTAAGTATAACCAATATTCACTGCAGATGCATTTGTTTTCGTGTATATCAATTTTCGTGGATAGTTGATTTCGTTGTTTTACCAATGTCTATAGGCTATAGAAAGTGTTCACTTCTTTGAACATTTTAATTATTGGTTAACTTTTACCCACGAAATCCACGAAAAAGTGGTATCCCACGAATAATAATGAAACCACAGTATAAAAAAAAACAAATCATCGACACGTAAAATTCAAGAATCAGAAAACAAATAAATACTAGTAGTCATTCCTCTTCTTATTGAGACTCGGTATACTTTGATTGTTACACTGTAACATATAAATCACATAAAGCAGGCTGTAAGCCATCCTGTTGAGGATTGTATTCACTATTTTTTCGAGTGCCCTTTTCACAATGAAGCACGATAAGTAATGTTTTTAATAAGAAAGATATGCTGTATCAATTGAGCTTCTATTGGCTAGTGAGGGTGACCTTACGTTTCAGCAAAAATGTAAAGACTTCTGGGTCTATGCAATGTTATTTCAGTTTTACACAAAGATTCAGAACACACAATTAAAATTCTGAATTCCTACTTACTCACATTTTCTTTCTATTTTTTTTGTTTTTTGGATTACATGCATTCCTATTATGTTTTCGGCATTATCAAATGTATTTTGTATTTATATTTGTATAGGAAGAAGACTTATGCCCAGTCCTTTTACTACTTTTGCAAATAGAATATATTCAAACTCAATTCAATTCTGCTTTTATACATTTATAAATTATTATGAAACCTATGTTCTAACTTCCACATCCAAAGTTTAACTTGTGTGGATTTTGCTTTTCTTTATGTCTCTTTTTATCATATAGTCCGAGAGCATCATTAACGTCTCCGAGGAGACGTTATTAAGAGTTGAACGATGGACAGTCTGCGGGCTGAATGCTTCTTACTATCTAATTGGAAGATATTGCTGACTCTATCCAGGAACATATATACTGTTCCAAGCTCTATCATAGCTAACTTGTGCTGATTGGTTGGGACAATTCGAAACCTAGTAAATGTCTTTTGATCCCGTAAAGTGTCGGAATTGAACTATTAGATTTTGCCTGGTTACCAATCATGCAAATCGGTACACAGGTAACACTTATCTATAAATAGCCAAAACTCCTGAAATATTGTAAACACAACGTTCTATCCAGTCGCTCACTGTTACGTACATCTTGTACACGAAAGCATACTTACGAAAACATCGTGCTTTTTCTTAGCCTAGATTATAAATATTTATACTTAGTAAGATAATCCAAAAGCAATAATAAAAAATGACTAAAAGGGAGATATGTTCGATTAAATATTAATTTAAACGGGAATTTTTACCTCGGAAAGGGGGGTGCGACCTTTTTATGGTAAAAGCACATATATGTCTCAGTCTGGTAAAAGGATCAAATATTTTTTTAACAATTAGTATGTCTACACATAGCATTGATGCATGGTTACGCTTTATCATCATAGGGGATACATTGCTTGACAAATATATAAAGCATTTACGACAGTGATTTTAATTGCATTTGAAAAAAAGTATCGACATCTGATTAGTTTCAGATTCAATCTTCAACCTTGACTTAGCTTAAATATTACCTTAATTTCTCGACTCATCCCTACCTCTCACTACAAATGATAAGTATGATAAATCCCCCCCCCCCCCCCTTTTTGTTATGGATTGGACTGGGTTCAACGTTTTCTAGCTCTCCCTATCAAAATAGCAGACGATGAAGAACAGATGAAGAACAGAAGACTAAAAAAATCGAAAGGGAAATATATATATATAAGAAAATATAAAACTACTCTCAGACGATGAAAGCAATTAGCAATTATACATGTATACTATCATATTTCAGCAATGCTTAATTTCTATGAATGATTTTAAAGGTTATATGAAGTATACGTAATAAGTTAATACAGCAATCCAATTAAACAACAAACAAAACAATTTACTTCTAAAATTCAACCTACGGTCTTCTACAATGGACATGTCATTACAATATTTTAAGTTTTTAATCCTCCCAAGTCTAGCTATGATATATAGAATGGTTGTGAATACATGTAAAAAAAAATCTTAATAGCAAACAATGAATATTACTTAAACAATGAGGAGGGTCAAGAAAAAACTTCTAGTAGTCTTTATAGGTATTTATATTTATGTGTATTTAATACTTCTGTCTGTTTTGTCATGATCGTATAT